TATTTTTAGTAGAGACGGGGTTTCACCGTGTTGACCAGGATGGTCTCGATCTCTTGACCTCGTGATCCACCCACCTCGGCCTCCCAAAGTGCTGGGATTACAGGCTTGAGCCACCGCGCCCGGCTATCATATATTTTCATATCAAAGTGTTTCCCTGCCTTCCTACCAACTAAGCCGTCTCTCTATACAACAACACAGCAGTAGCCCACGTTCTCATATGCCCTCCTCTGTTGCTCCCGAATTTAAATACATAGCTGTTGTATTCTGTTCACCTATCTCCCTATTCACCAATCTCTTTTGCTTCCTTTCTCGCCTCCTTTCTTTCCTTCTCCTGAATCATTTATTTACTACCTGCTAGAGATTATGATGGACTTCCCATCCAGTGTTCTTTCACCAAAAAGCACGAGATCAAAAAGCACTTTCAACCTAGTGGGGGAGGAACCTTCATTCGTTTGGAACTGGAGGCTGCCTTGATCATTCAGATCTGAAATTCCATTCATTCTTTCAAATGGTCTGGGATAGTGTGTTTTTTATTTTATTATTTTATTTTATTTTTTGAGACAGGGTCTTGTTCTGTCACCAAGGCTAGTGTACAGTGGGGCAATCACAGCTCACTACAGCCTCAACCTCCTGGGCTCAAACTATCCTCCTATCTCAGCCTCCCAAGTAGCTGGGGCCACAGGCACACACAACTGTGCCTGGCTAATTGTTTTATTGAGGTCTCACTGTGTTGCCTATGGCTGGACTCAAACTTCTAGGCCCACGTGACATGCCTGCCTCAGCCTCCCAAAGTGCTGGGATATCAGTGTGTGCCACTGCACCCAGCCTGAGGGTGTGTCTTTTAAATGCTCAGTTCTGCATAGGCACTGGGGTGAGTGTAGAAAAGTAAAGACCCAGTCCCAGTCCTAGGCATGAACAGATTTGCGATCTAATCAGAGGTACCAGGGATGACGCTTATGAACTTGAAAGGTGAAGATTTATTGCCAAATGATGTTGCAGCAAGTTTTGTAAAAATGAGCAAAGCAAAAAATTAGAGTTAGCTGCAAGTGCGATGAAGGGGGGAACTCGAGCCTTGCAGGATGGCTGGACCGAAAGGAAGAAGGCAGGAGAGCAGCGTGGGGAAGGAGCGAGCTCCCAGCATGCTCCCGTGGCTTGCAGGGAACCAAGGTGCAAAGGTAGGATGGAGCAGAATCCGTTTTGGCAGACTGCAGCAAGGACCAGCAATTTTTCTGGAACACTGTTTTTTCTTCCCATCTCCCCATCTCTCCCTGGGACTTGGCAGGGGACCCCAGCATGGCATACAGCAACCTTAACGATGGTTCTGCTGGGTGCCAGCGGTTGCTGGCATGCTAGATCCTGACTTGAGACAAATAAATTCAGATGTCCAGGGCAAGACTGGCTTTGGCAGCAGGGGTCCCCTTTGACAGGGGTCCCTGGTCAGGAGAGAACTGACTTTGTCCCAAGCAGACCTGGGCTTAGGCAATCCTCACCAACCCTGCAAGGGTCTTCTCTTTTTGAGACAGAGTCTCGTTCTGTCACCCAGGCTGGAGTGCAGTGGTGTGATCTCAGCTCACCGCAACCTCTACCTCCTGGGTTCAAGCAATTCTCCTGCCTCAGCCTCCTGAGTAGCTGGGACTGCAGGCTTGCACCACCATGCTTGGATAATTTTTCTGTTTTTACTTAGAGGCTGGGTTTCACCATGTTGGTGGGGCTGGTTTCGAATTTCTGACCTCAAGTGATCCGTCCACCTCAGTCTCCTAAAAGGCTGAGATTAGAGGCGTGAGCCACCACGCCTGGCCTGCAGG